AAAATCGTAAGATTTTAAGATTTAAATCTAGATTTTGACAACAATGGTTCTAAGAAAAATTGTTGCAAATGTAGTATATAGGTAAGGGTAAAAGCATGGAAAGGAAAAAAAGTAGTGTAAAAAAAGAGATATTTTGATAGAAAAAGATTTAAAGGAATGATTGTAAAATAATAATAATAATAATAACAATGAGAGGATACTGGAGAAAAAATAATAACAAATAAATTATTAATGTAGAGATGGAAAATGAGTGTAATAATGTAGGCTTTTTACTCTATTATTTAAAACCATAACTTTGTAACTATGTGTATAAATTTATTGTATCTATTATTAAATTATTTGTGATTTTAATATATTTATATATTATTATAATACTGAGAAAACAAAAAATATCTAATGATAAATAAAAAGAAAGAAATTAGGTAAAAAGATATATAATAATAGATGAAGATTTAAGGAGTAATTAAGAAAGAATAATAGAGAATGGATGATAAATAGAGAAGGGATGATAAGAAGAGAAAGAATAATAACAAAAAACAAATATATATATATATATATATAGAGAGAGAGAGAGAGAGAGAAGGCAGATATAATTTAAAGTGATAAATATAGTGAGAACATGTGAGAGGGTAAATTAAGAGATTGATGTTGTAAGAAAAATTAATTTGAGTCTAATAGTGGTGCCTAAGTAAACAAGTATCAATGGAACAATACTAAAAGTTGTGTCTTTTATGTTTTGATTTAGAATAAGCCTAATATAGATAAGAAGAAAAAGAGGGAATTGAGATAACAAGAATAATATATGATTGATGGAGGTGCTAGGAATGACTGAAAATAAATACTAAAGTGGGAGGATAAAGGAAAGAAAGGGATAATAATAAATAAATTAACTATATAGAGAGAAAAAGTGAGGGTGAATACAGAGGATAAATAAATATAATAATAAAATTTGTGAGAATAAACTAAGAGATGATATTGTAAAAAAATTAATGAAAGGGAAAATAGAGATAAATGTAAAATTACCAAGAGACTATTGTTAATGAGCTATATATATCTTTCCATCAACTATGTGGTGTAATGGTAAAATTATCTACATTCTAG